CATGGCTTTGCATGGCATGTAGCAGGGACAGCTAAGGGGGCTGAGCGCAGAGATGGGTGCGTAGGAAGGCCCCAGCAGGACTGAGTCTCTCTTTGCCTCTCTCTGCCAGGATGTCCTGACTGAAGCAGACTGTGCCGCTGTACTGAAGCAGGTCCATGAGGTAGGAACTCTCCTCAGCAGAGGAGAACGAAGCATGGGGTACATGGGGAAGGTGCTGGACCCTCACTCACCCAGCCAGAGAGCTACCCTGCATTCCCCCCCAGCCCTCTTCCCCACACCTTTGTTCCCCTATACACCCCACATCCATACCTGTGTGCACTTACACTGCACGTATGCAGAGACCAGTTCATATCCCACACGTGTGCACTTATGCCAGTGGACATCTCTGGCCTGCACGTGGCAACATCTGTACTTGGTAGCCCTGGCAGAGGACATGGATGCTGCTGCCATTCCTGAGGCCCTTGCTGCCTGTCTCCCTGACAGCCCAGAGTGGCATTCACCACCTCTCCAACAGACAAAGGGTGGATCAGATACCCGGGGGCGGTAGAAGCGGGTGTTGCTTCCACCTTCTGTATTGCTGCAGGGCTTTGAGATGCGGACGTATGCTGGCCCTGCCTTCGCTTTCTTCAGACGCTCACTGGGCATGTCGGAGAAGGAATACCAGCTGTCCCTGTCCTCTGAGAGCCCCTACCTGCAGTTCATCAGCAACTCCAAGAGCAAGGCAGACTTCTTCCTCACGTGAGTCTCTGCCAGACAGGCCTATGCTCTCAAAGTGGCCACTGGTTCATACTGCTTCTACCCAAGTCCCACTATCATCCCTGGGAGACGCCCGTGAATATCTGCTGGCAGAATTTAGCCCCAAAATCTACTAACCCTGTGTTGTGAGGAGCTGATGGCCAGACCTGTAAAGGTGGCCAGGTGCCTAACACCCATGGAAATTACTATGATGTAGGGGCCTTAAATACCTTTGAAAAGCTGTCCCTGACTGTCTAAGTGAACTGTCAAGAGCACAAGGGACCAGAAAGCTCTGTGAGGCCCTCTACTCACAAAGCAGAGCAGACCACATTGCTTCTGCTGCAGCCATGAATGTTATGTGCACCCTTGACAATAATGCATGCACGTGTGCACAAATAAAGGGTGTGTTGTGCTCTATGTGCTTGTCTGTAGCAAGTGCACATGAATGGGTGGATGTTGTTTGTGAAGGCCCCATACAGGTACCCAGTGCATCAGGGTTTGTGAAAGTCCGTTCCACAAAGCGGGTGCGCTGGAGGACAGTGCTTCTAACGACCTGGCTTTGGGGCAGAGGCGCTGGGTGTTGAGCGGGGTGGAGAGTGGTGTTTGCAACCCAGTGCAAGGTGGTTTTGGGGTATGGCTGCAAGGCTGTATGTGCTTGGCCATGGGTTTTGTTCCTGTCCATTCTCCGGGAATGGGACTGCAAGTCAATTACTGGAGTTGAAGTGGTTTTCCTGTGTGCAGATGTGTTGTGCGTGGTGTGGGCCCAGGGGAACATGGCTGGGGAGCTAGGGGCACCTCAGGACCCCTGCCATGAACTCCCACCTCCTTGCCCTGCAGGAATAACAAAGGCTTCTTCCTCAAGACACAGAGTAAGAGGGAGATCCAGTTCCTCCTTACCCATCTGCCCAAGTACCTCCGGCACCTTGAGAGATACCCACACTCCCTCCTCGTCAAGTTCCTGGGTAAGAGCAGCCTCAGAGGAGCCCGCAAGTGGCTGGAGGGAAAAGCTGAGCATAGGCAAGAGCCAAAGGTGGCTGATCCAGCTGGCTTGGCAGTGTAACCCCTCTTAGAGCCAAGCGTGGGTTGGTCACTAGTTAGAGCAACAGTGAGGTGGGCCCCTTGTGCCATCCAGAGGAGGGACAGAGATTGCAGCAGGTGGTTGCAAGTCCTGCTCTTGCTCTGCCTGGCCCTGCCCCATGTTGATCCCACCTTGTTAGAGGCTCTTGGCTCTTTTGTACCTGGGTGAAGGAGGACCCTGGAGGTGCTGCCCCGGCCTGGGTAGAGTAGTGTCTGTGAACAGATGGAGCTGCCTCTGGCTGAGATTCCGGATCCAGGCCATTCTCCTCTGAACTCTGCTCCTGTGTCCTGCCCTTCAGGTGTCCACAGCATCATCATAGCCGGGAGGAAGAAGGTATGTTTCACCTGCTTGCTGAAGCCTGCCACCCACATTTCTGCCTCACCCTTGGGCACACCCAGCTCTGCCTCTCTGTTGCGCTCTGAAATCTCCCCTGCTATAAGCCAAAGCCTCTGGGCCAGGAGCTCAGGCATGCTCTTGCTCTCTCCTCCAGAAATACTTCATCATCATGCAGAGTGTGTTCTACCCTGACGAGAGGATCAGCGAGCGGTGAGCTCCAGGCTGGTGGGGCTCGAGGGCTCAGAGTGCTTTGCATGGTCATCTCCTCTCCCCAGCAGTGCCCCCGCCCCCAGAGGGTCTGCCTGTCTGTCCAGGAGCCCCAGTGCTCACACACCCAGAGCTACCTACAGCTCCTAGCTGTCAAGCACAAGCAGCATCATCAGGTTGCCCTCTGGTGGCTGCAGTGAGATAAGTCCAAGGAGCGTGTCAAGTGTGAACATGGCCTAGGTAAACCTGATTAAATTAGTGAGCATCCAGCCCCATCCGAAGTCCTGGGTTTCCCCACTTCACTGCCTCAGACTCTGCAACACAGCATGAGGCTTCCCCTCTGCTCTCTGAGCCATGCCCATGATGTCACGTGGGCATGGGCTGGGTGAGGCACAGCAGCGGTTAAGCAGAGGCTCATTCAGTCCCGTGGGAGTCACTTGTCCTTCTTGTTACGTGCAGGTATGACATCAAGGGCTGCCAGGTGAGCCGCTGGACGGAGCCAGTCCCGGAGGGCAGACAGGTCATTGTGGTGCTGAAGGACCTCAACTTCGAAGGGAAGGCCATCTGCCTGAGTGAGTCCTTCCCTGGCCCAGGCTCATGGAGGCAATGGGCTCTGCTGGGCCACTTGCCCCTTCATACTGTCCCACCACCAGGGAACTCCACGTCCCAACATAGCACCAGTGGACAGCTGCACAGAGCCTCCCTGCTCCACTGGTCAGTGCATAGGCACTGGGAGGGGAGGGGAGAGAGAGACCCTTTGTTGCTGGAGATGCTGGGTCAATGTGCTCTGCCCAACAAAGGAATATGACACTTGCCTGCCCAGCTGCCCTGGAGCTGCCACCTCCAGGGACAAGCAGGTCACTCGAGTTGTGCACCTGTTTGCTCCTGGCCTCACTGTCAGCATGGGAGGCCAAGTCATGCTTTGCAGTAGCTTTATGCTTGGGACACCGAACTGGGCTGAGCCCCCACACTAAAGCTCAGGCCACTAGAACCTGGTGGCTGGAGCCTGGGTGTTTAGCAGGAGCTGAAGAGCTTTGTGCTTCTGGCTCTGTGGTCTCCCGTTCAGTCCCCAGTGTCTCAGCCAAGGGGTAGATGCCCTGTTACCACACTAATGCCTGTCAGGGCTGTGGTACTCTCAGCTGGTGTTTCCCTCCTCTCTTGCCTTGCCCATCAGTGCCAATCCTGTCTGCACCAACTGCTTCTCCTTCCTGCAGCTTGTCTGCTGAGATTCTTGCCCTTTGAGCCCATTTGTAATAGAAGCTCCCAGGGCATGCTGCGTCTATCGGGACTCTATGTGGACCCTGCCAAGGGTGCCTGGAGCTGCTGGCTTCACCCACCAGCAAGAAGCAGGGGGCTCTGGATTCCTGCCCATGGCCTGAAAGAGGGTCTGGCCACATTCTTGCATCGGCACTGAACGGATGGCTACAGATGGCTGTGGTGCTATGCGAAGAACAGGCGAGCTGCCTCAGCAGCAGCAGGGCATCTGGGCCATCCTCATACTCAGCCCCTCGTGCAGCCAGGCTTTGCTCAGCTCCTGTGTCCTTCGCCTCCATGCCAGGCTTCCCGTCTGGTCTCTCTTAGCCTCTCTGTACTTTCTCCCACCACTGGCAGGTCATCAGCGCCCTTGGTTCATCCGCCAGGTGAAGCTGGACACCCAGTTTCTGCAGGGGCTGAACGTGCTGGATTACAGCTTGCTGGTGGCCTTCCAGCCACTTCACGCAGATGAACTGAGCCATAACTTTGCCAGCATCATCACCAGGACTACAAAGTGAGTGCTCAGCTTCTGGGGGGGGTGGGGCATGGCTGAGCTGGGTTTCTGCAGGTCCAGCTGAGTGGCTGGAAGCAGTAGAAACAAGAGTGCCTGCAGGTGCCTGCCAGGCTGCTTGGGTGCAGCCTGCAAAAGTCCTGAAACTCAAAGCCTCCATCCTCCCCATGCTTCAGGGCTCTTGGAGGGCCTGCCAGCACCCTGCTATCAGGAGGAAAAGCCTTGGGGCTGCTCTAAACTGATATCCTGTTTCCTAGGGGATATTTATGAGCCTCAGACATAGAAAAAAGCTATCAGACAGCTCCTCCTCTTCACTACCTGTCCCCGTCCACTCCTGACATGCACCTTGGCTGAGAGGAGGCCCAGGAGAGAGCCCCTATCCCACTTGCTGGTGAGGCTCTCCCTAGCAGTTCTTTCCCCTAACAAGGCAGGGCCTCAAGATCAGTGTGCAGCTGTAGGTGACTGAGCCTCAGAGACCCTACACGTCCCAAAGTACCTGGTGCCAGAGCTCTTCAAAGCAGCCACTGGTGCATGTGCTCCTGCCCCAGATATGGGCTGTGTCCATGCTGCCATGCTGGCCTTTCCCCCGCCCCCCTCTGCAGGTCTGTTGATGGACGGGGCTGCCACCAGAGAGCCATGGTGCCGGGGGCCATCAGTGAGGAGTCTGCCATCCTGGTATCCGATCTTCTGTCGGGGGCCAGCGTGTACCACACATGTGAGGCCGCTGTTGATGGGAAGGGCAACCTGCAAGACGTCAGCCTCCACAGCAGCCCCGAGTCCAGCCCTGAGCTGTCCCAGGCCCTGGCGCAGAACCGGCGCCTGCTGCCCAACTACAAGAACCCCCTGCATGTCATTGACGGGCCGGAGCTCCGCTACTTTGTGGGTATCATCGACCTCTTCACCGTGTATAGCCTGCGCAAGAGGCTTGAGCACCTCTGGAAGTGCATCCGGTACCGGGGACAGACTTTCTCCACTGTCTGCCCAACCCAGTACGCCCGGCGCCTCTGCCAGTGGGTGGAAACGCACACCCTCTGACCCGCGCGGTGGCTTCCCAGCCAGCCCCATGCACCAGCCCCCCTCCTGGCACTGCTCTCTTCTGCCACCAGGGGGCAGGATCGACACAGCCCCAAGGGAAGTAACCCAGCCGGCACCTGGAGCGGGTTTGGGATGGAAAGGAAAGCCTCTCTCAGGGGGGAGCTCTGCCCTGCAGCAGCAGCAAGGACCGGGCCCAGTGTAAGTCCCAGAAATCCAGTAAATGGGCAACCTGCAAACCAGCTGCCAGCTCACATTGCTCTGGTCTTGGGGGATCTCCGGGCGGCCAGGTTGTGTCTTGGGTAGGGAGCATGCTGCATCTCTGTGCCCAGGTCCTGGGGTGGGGGGTGGTCTGAGGTGCTGCTGTGCCAGCATAGAGTGGTTGTGTGATCAGGGGCTATGCTTCTTACTTGTCCCTAAGGCTGAGTGGGGTCTAATGAAGGGCTGTGCTCCTCCCAGCAAAGCTGCTCTCACTGTGATGGAGGAACTTAGGGTAGTCAGGAGGGTGTCAAATGCTCCTACAACCCTCCGCCAGGGAAGCACAGGGCCTGAGAGTGCTCCTGGAGGGGTGACCCTAGCTGAACTCTGGGAGCTCCTGCCTGCATCAGTGTCCCTGTCCTGATAGTCCTGCACCAGCTCCATCTTCGTGCATTAGAAGGGGCCGAGCTGCTCCCTCTGTGCTGACATCCTGGCGCTCTTTTTCTGTAACTGGAAGGATATGCAGTCCTGAGACAGGTAAAGAACCACAGAGATTTGCCAGTCAGCGCAGGGGGAAACATAGGGCTTTTAAGGAATGCAGACCTTGGGCTTATTTCAACCTAAGTATTCAGATATGTTGAGTCAAATAATAAGATGGGGGGCGGGGGGAATCTCAAAGCCAATAATAATTTTAAATCGGGGATGTTTTCCTAAAGGCAGCCAAGAGCATGTAGTGCCAGTCTCACCCTACATCTAATACAGTGCCTAAAAAGGTAGTCCAAAATGCCAGTGCACTAAACAGACAATGAAACACAAAGGAGGAAAGGGCAGCACTATGAAGTGCTTAGAGTATGGGGCTAATTATCAGGGCTCCTGAGGTTTCTCCCTTGCTCTGTCACTGACTCACCACGTGACTTGGAGTCCTTGTGCCTCAATTTCCCCAGTTATGAAATGGGGATAAAAATATTCCTCTGCTTCACTGTGGTGGCACTGAGGCTTTGCTCATTAATGTCTAAAAAGTGTCTTTTAATCCTTGCCTAAAAGGTGGTGCATAAGGACTCATCTGCACCAAAAATTACTTGGATTGGGTAGACTAGCACCTAGCATCCCTGCTTCTAGACCAGAACCCCTTTGTGCAAGGTGCTGTATATGCACAGAACCAATGGATCCTGCTCTAAACTGCTTACAAGCCTGCTCCAGCCAGGTTCAGAGCCACTGTCAGAGGTCCCATGCTCCAAACTGTGCGACTAACTGCACTGCATCAAATCTTCCCTTCTGCTCTCTCTTGGGCCAGTTTTGTGCAGACCAAGACTAAGCGCACTTTTCACTCAAGTGCTGATTCTGGGCATTGGCAAGACGACACTTGTGCGTGCTTGGCAGTCCCTGAGCGTCAGTGCACAACTCTGAAATGTCACTGCACGCAGGCCAGCCCTGACCTGATTAGATGATAAATCTAGCTGGATGCAAATCAGCCACGTATTGCTGGATGCAAATCGGCCGTGTATTGCCGTTTGCCATCTCCCACACACTTCCCCAACCGTGCATGTTGCAAATGCTGGTGGCAAGTGAAAATGTGTGAAACAAGCCAACCACTGTTTGCCAGGGGTTCCCACACCTGCTCCAGCCCGCTGCAAACGACGGAGCTAGAAACCAAGAGGGAGTCAGCTCTTTCCCCACGTGGTGCCTACTTCCTCTTCCCGACAGAAAGAACCGGGGCTGCCGGTCAAGTGACCTTATGAATCAGAAACCTACTGAGACTCCCTCCAGGAAGCGCCTGCCTCTCCAGAGCAATTGAAAGGAATAATGTTAGCTGGTTAGAGCCCGACCCGACTTTGTTTCCCCAATCCAAGCAGTCACTGGGCCTCTCGGAGCTGTAGGGGCCTGGCTTTTTCCTTGACACCCAGCAAGCAAGCAGTAGGGAGCCTGGGTTTGTGGCTGGGACTGGAGAGAGAGCCGGGGCTTTGCCACAGACTTCCTCGTGTGCCTGGGGCAAATCATTTTGCCTCTCTCCGCCTCAGTTGCCCCATCTATAAAACGGACGGGGAAGGGCTTTGCAGGTTTCCGTATGCGGGTCTCTGCTTGGCGCCGCCCCCCCCCCCCCCCATACAGACACCTGCTCTGGCCGTGCAGATGGTGCTGCCCCCCCCGGGCGGGGCTTTCCTGCAGCCCGGAGGAGCCGGGGGCGCAGGCGCAGACGCGGGACGTTGGACCCGGCCCGGCGGCGCGGGCAGGTAAAACGCGCCCTGCGGCCGCGGCGACGG